TCCCACTTTGTTCGAAATTTGATACGGGTCAATAAATCGAGGAGTCAGCTTCTTCAATTTCAACGCTCGCCCAACACCGGTCACTAGGTTGACTCTAAAAAAGACATGATCTCCTTCTTGAAATTCAAGGTCCTTCCTTCGCTTGTTATGGTAACTCTTTTGTCTACTCTGTGAAGCTTTCATATTTTCTTGAATTAGTTTCACTTTTTTTTGTAGTCTCTCGTACAATTTTGGGTCAAGCATCACACTTTCACCAGATTCGTACCAACACAAAGGCGTTTTGCACTGCGATATGGTGGCAGAATCGACTGTTAATACTGGTTTGCTTTTTGTATTCGAAAATTTCGCGGTAAGAAAGAGTCGCCACCGACTTTTATTTTATCCAATCAGGAAAAGTAAAAAGAATAGTAAAAACCTTTTTCGAGCTATTTCTGAGTACGAGGGGTAGATTATAGAAAGGTAAGGTGTTAGAACCCTTTCTATCCATGGTTTTCCACGGGCTCTTAGGTACTTTCTCGTTTCTAAATTGCTTATGTGTGCTTGCTTTGAAAAGTTTTGTTTTACTTCATTTTAACCCTTGTTTCTGTCCTCACGAGTGTTACGAAGTTGTTTTGAAAACTTTGTTTGGAAAGTGTTTGTGTGAAAAAGTTTGTTTGTTTGAGAAAGTACATAAAAACTAATCTACCTACTCGAAAAAGACTGTTCGTTTTCCTTTTAGACAATGCTATCCCATTATTGAGAAATAGGTAGCACCGTCTTTGGAGTTTTTAGGGACATTTAAAGGGACAAATACGATCACAAAAGCAATGTTAGGAAGTTTTAGTAATCATCCTAAAGCCTTAAAGATCTTTTTCTGAGGCAACATCCGAATGGGTCATTTTAGATCTTTCGGGGCTAGAGGACGACCACTAACAAACCCTATACTTCATGACCATTTACCAAAGGCAACCGGAGTGGAGTAAACCCTAGGAGTGAACATGTGCGAGTGTAATTTTCAGTTAATTTATCTTTGCACATTTAGGATTTTCTACCATTTTAATTTTCAGTTAGTCTTTCCATAAAATCCTATTAACATACATCTAAGCAGTTTATAGTTAGTGAAAATTAAAGTGCGGGAAAGTTTAAAGTCCTAGCTATTACAGGGCTTTCACAAATACATAATTATATTGACTGTAAATAAAGATGCGGAAATTTAAAACCCTAATTAAATCTATTACAACCCAAAGCAAATACAATAATAGAAAAAAGAATTAAAATGCACGCGGCGAATTAAATGCGAGAATGAATTAAGAAACGTAAAAAACTAATTGAAAAAGTATTTAGGATATTTTTTTGAGAAAAATTAATTAGGTTATGGACAGATTAAAACCCTAATTCTAATTGATTTACCTTTTATAAAAATATTAAATTGCCCTAAATAATTGAACTAATTAATTAATTAATGAAACAAAATATTTTTTTATGAAAAAAGATTTTTAGGTTTTTTGTGATTTTTTTGATTTAATAAAAAAATTGATTTTTGTGTTATTTTTGTAAAAAAGAAAATAATTAGTGAAATAATTAAAAAAAGAATTAAAACAAAAGATTTAGAGATGGGCATGTATTGTTGAAAAAGGGGGTGTATGTTGAATTTGGTAGGCCCATTATGCTGATCAGCCCAGTCCTAGCGTGTGATCCTGTACTGGTCAGGCCTGGAGAGTGTACCATGGTTCTTGACATATGGGACGTTGGATTGGATTGATGAGGAATCCATTGGCTGGATTGTGAGGTGCATGGTGGATGTCTTGTACCGTAATGCATAGATCCTGCGTTCAAATGTTAAGAAAATAAAGAAAATTGATGGGACCTGGGATCGAACCCAGGTCCTCCGACTCATGCAAGACGCGCTTCACCACTGGGACATATGTTTTAATTGTCAATATAATAACAATAATCAATAATATATGAAACAACGTGGATAACAAAAACGCGTGCGATTATTCAAACGGGCCAGTGAGATTGCGCCAACTCATCATCTTCCTCCCTAGACCGTCGCTTTAGGTATAACACTTTTACCTACAGCCTGTGTCTGTAACCATAGCCCTTCATCTTTCAAAAATCTTAAACAAGCATGATAAATTAATGGTCAGTACATAGATCAACTCTTTTTGATCTCACGAGTATCATGGTGCTCTTTTCTTGGTCTAATTTAACCTGTAGAATAAAGCTCTAAAACGTAAGCAGGAACCCTAACAATGGTGATCATGAATACATGCGTTGAAACATCAATTAAACCATTCACACATGTTACAAATATGTCAATAAACACAAATATATCATTAGAACATGTTTATGATGCAAGAATCGATATAATCAGATTTGAAAAAAAGAGAAAACCGTGTGCAGGCTAGTGGACGCTTTTGGGCTTGAGAATGCTTGCAATTGATCGTGTTAGCTTCAGGAGATGTCCAGGAAGCGATTAGAAGCTTTGAATGGCCTTGAATCACCCACTCTCTTAGAAAACAGATCACCACTTTTTGTTAATTTTTTCAGTTAGGTTTTGTGCTCCCACGACCTGCAATCCTCGTTCTTGATCCTTGGTTATGTTCTGTATTTGTACTAGAATACATTAGGTCAACAAAAACGCATTATATCTTGGTAAATTAAGGAGATTGGATTTGATTTTATCATTGTATGATATCTTTCCAAAATAGGCCTAATCATGCCAATTTTTGCTTCAATTTGCTTTGTACTATTTGATCTGATATGCCAGTTTAATTAGATTATAATTCCTACAAATATCAGATCAAAAATCAATCTTTTGTATTTTTTTGCAATTTATTTGATTTAATTTGAATTTTAAATAATAAAAAATCAAAATAAAATAAATAATGAAATAAATAAAGTGTAGATTCTGATTTGGGTCGTGGACCATGTCACAATCAAGATTCAATCATGAAAAAGTAGGCCCATTTGACAAAAAATGCATATTTGAGCACATTTGACTTTTGGCAATTTTGCAAAAATGGTCAACTTTGACAAGTCTTATCTCCTCCAATTTTAACCCTAGAGAGGTGTTCTTGGACTTTTTAGAAATCCTAGGATATCCCCTAAACAACCCTTTTGGTTTCATCTCAATTGGGTCTTCCATGTTCATGTAAGAAGCTTTGACCCAAAACGTGTTTTCGTTAACTTTTCAAAAGGACCTATAATGTAGAAATCCATATCTTTTGATGAGTGCATATTTTGAACTTGTGGGATGAATATGAATTGTAGGAAATTTCATCCTCTTCAAAATCATCTTTGGATGGAAAATTTCTGATAAAGTATTAAGAAGTTATGCTTGGTCAAAGTTTGGTTGACTTTCCTTGAGAAACCCTAATTTAGCAACTTTTGGGTTTTGATGAATTTGGGGCATTCCTTGGGGATTCATGATCAACCCTTGATCAAATGATGAATATAACTTCAAAATGTTGGTGTTGACAAAAAATATTGAAGTTTGACTGTATGTGGGCCACAGTTGACTTTTGACCTAGTATAGTTGATTTTCAGGTATCTGAGCAAACTTCTTGTGCAAGGCATGAAACATGACATGAATGATCTTGAGAATATATTGGGACCATGGAAATAATTTGGGGCCTTTGGAGTTCCCACACCCTGATGAAAATGGAAACCCTAGTTTGAGGTACATTGCCTTAGGAGAGAGTTTGTCTGGTCAACTCTTGGGCATCCTTGAGTAAGTTGAGGACCTCAATGGGCATGTGTTGAGTAAAATGAGAGGGAAAATTTCGGGGTACAACAATTTCCCTGTTCAATATTCTTAAACCTGAGGATGTAGATTGGTTGTCTGCCTTTCATAATCTGAAGGTGGAAGATGATTGAACATTAGATTGCCCAGAAATTTGCACTCGTCTGAGATGGTGCTGGACTGTGTAGGTAGTATCGGGAATGGGCTTACAAATTCCATTTGGAGGAGATGACGGAAGGTCACCGGAGATGAGCTTAAAGATGCCATCTGGAAGATATGACATAGAATCGTCGAAGATGGGCTAAAAGATTCCATCTAGAGGATGTTGATTTCCCGAGACATTCGTTTGATGAGAATTCTTAATCCTGTCATTGAGGAGGAATATGTTGAGGATTGTTGGTATCTTTCTTGGGAGAAATATAATTTTAGGAGCTTCAGTTGTCCGTTACTCTACTGGGGAATCATCTCTTAGTCGAGGGTGTAGTGGTAGAAATGTTCAAGACTAAGCCATTGGATTGACTAGACTTTATACAAATCAAAATAAAAATCGCCACCGCACTTTATTGTTTCCAAAGGAATGGGAAAAGAGCGAATAACCCCAAAAAGGGGGAAGATTCAAGGTAAGGGGGTTGGTTATGCAAAGGGAAGGTATTAGCACCCTAAACATCTACGGTACTCCGTAGGAACCTCTTTGTAAAATTTGTATATTTTAGCTATATAAAATGTGTTGTATATAAAATGGATGGTAGAGGTGAGAAAAGAAATATATTTTTTATGGTTTTTGCACCCGCCGCGGTTACGAACCTTTAGTACCTACGTACCACCTTTCGTGCAATAGGGGATCAGGGTACACGTAGTTCTTCTTTTAAAAATTTGAAATACAAGTGTGTTGGTTAATTTTAAGAGATAAGACATCATTGTCATTGTCCGTGTGGAAAACATACTTACTACCCACAATCATGAGAAAGGAGAATTTGCTTCATCTCAAAGTGGAGGATATTGCTTGGATTTTAAAATCAACAATGCCTCACTCAACACCCAAGTGGAAAATATCTCTCTTCACTACATAATGTATAAGTATAGTTGTTTGCATCACTACAAGGATTGACACGAGCCTAATCTTTTAAGAAAAGTTTAAGGGTAAAAGCGAAAGTGGCAAAATGGTTTGAAATG